TTTAGTGTTTGAATTAGTGAGTATTAGAATCTGAAGAAAACATGTAACTATCAGAATTTTCTAATATTGCTGAAAAGTCATGTACTGAATCATAACGAAAAACTGAGATAAGTATCTTACACTTTTATAACATTAAATATTGTTGCTTTCCCTGAACTAATCGAAGATGGCTGACAAATATTGTTTACAATGTTTTGAAGTGGTAAAAAGATTTATAGAATAAATAAATCCTTTTCGATTGTGTTAAGTTCTGTGAGGTGGACAGTTTGACTGTGAAACTTTCATTGTCAGTCTCAACAAAAACATTGGCGCTTGCATCATCCGCAACAATAAGAAGACCTCAATAAAAGTACCCAGCTCAAAGAATACAAAGTAATATGAAGAATGTTCTCTTTTTTATTAACCTATATAAATTCAAACTGAGTTCAGATTTAACGGATTGAAAATATTTGGACAATAGTTAAATGATATTCGATGGTATTAGAAATTTGGGTCTGTCAATGAATGTAGAAACAAAAAATTGTATTGACTCACTTTACGCCATTTAATACTAATAATCTTATCAAAATAGTAGTACGCATGAATTTGCAAAAATCTGTTTATATATGTCAACTAGAATTACTTCATACAGAAGATTTTTGAGTAACCATATATAAGATATCGTTTTCATAACTTCTTGTTTACTATTATTTCGATAAGGCTACTATCGTTAAATAATGAAGTGCTGAATAACCTAAATCTTAAATACTAATGAATGTCTTCCTTTTATGATAAAGGTAGAAAGTAATCTGAAGAAAACTGACCATTTTAACAAGGCAGTTCAACTAACTACTTAATATCATTTACTCTTTACTAAAGTAAGATAGCCTATATGAAATTAAGCAATCAAGTCTGTATTTTGTACCAAATAATTTTTTCAGTTAAAATGACAGTGTATGATAGACATTATCAAGTGGTTATCTCATCGCAATGACTTTTATCTAATCGTGTGAATCAACAGAATACTTCAAAGTTGTTAATTTGTTTTAGAAAGTAAAGTTTAAACAACTAGGTCTAGAACGTAATACTAAGAATGATTTCAAGTTTCAAGCACCAATCAATATGACCTTTGAATATGATGAAATTACAAATTTCATGACATAATCAATTGAGAGAGAGAGAGAATGAGAGAAGCTGTTTACAAAAAAACACAACAACAATGAATATCAAAAAACCGAATAATTAATTGGTTGACAAAGTTCTAATTACTTCATGTGTATAATAAAGTACAGATTATTGATTTAACAAAATGAAATGAGTTCAAGGTACTTAAAGACTGTTTAATCAATCAATCATACAACTCAATCAATGAACAGATATCGATAAAACTACGATAATTCAATAAGAAGACGAAGGTAATTAAAACCCTGTCATACATGTTAATGTGTTACATTTCAAACAATCTAATAACACCTTTACTTGTTAAAATATATCTGAAAAATAAAGGTTAGGTTAAACAATTTGGAAGATAAGAAGTAAAGATGATAAGGAAAAACACCATCATGTTTGTTAAGACAAAATCAATATTATTCAGTTAAGATTTAATACAAGTTCAAATTATTTTTGAACATATAAGGCAGGTTAAGCTAAACATATGGCCAAAAGTACTTAGAATTCTTCTTAGATCACTGTTATACAACACAAAAGACGCATTAAGATCAGCCCCGTGAACCACTTCAATTTTATGTTTGGCAGTAGATAAAGATTTTTATTTTTATTTATTTATTTGTTTATGGCTTTATTCAATATTATATTTTGGTACAATATAGAATTCTCAGCACAAAAATATTTCAACAAGTTTCTTTTACAGAACAAAAGAAAAAAAACGGTTAAAAAAAAATCTGAAAAAAAAGAAAAAAAAACTGTATAACTTTTCAATTAGAGTCATGTTAAGAATGCAGATTATTGACTAGGTTAACTCTAACAACCTGTTCGTCACAGAGTACATTTGCTAGGTAAGGTACTATAGAACGTTTATACTTTTGCTTGCGTGCTTGGATTATAATGTAATTTCGTCTCGTTCTACCAGAAGATATACAAGGAGAAAGATATGAGTGAAGGGGATGGTTAGTATCTGATAAAATAACATCTGCCAGGAGTTTGCATGACTTTAGATGTCTATCCACAATCATATTAATTATGGTCTCGAAAGATTCACCACATAACTTGCTAACTGCCTTCAGCGCTCTCCGCAGTACAGCAAAGTCTTTTCTCAAAAGCCCGGGAAAGAATAACGGAGAACAGTACAGAATAATAGGTAATGTGCAAGAATCGACAAATTGTAGGAGTAAATGACGAGTGATCCCAAAGGCATGCAACCTCTTAATGTAGTAAGTCAGACGGAAAACTTTCCTCGATAACAATAAAACGTGAGAAGACCAAGAGAGATCAGAGGAAAAGGTAACACCAAGATAATTGACCGTCGACACTGTGTTTATCAAAGAGTCGCCAATGGCACAAGCATTATGAGATCTCAAAAAGGTGTTTAAATGCCGATCATGTCTCATGCTAAAGTTAACAGCTTGACATTTAGACGGATTAAGTAGGAGACCATTAACGACAGACCAACTATCAATGCGAGATAAAAACTCGTTCATTTCTATTGAGGTGAGTATTGACCATACTGTTTGACTGGTTCTTGTACTGAATAAATCAGGAACAGATTATTAGTGCGAACAATCGTTTTCGATAATCTTTTTATCAGGATTTCTAGTCATAAAGCCGAAATTATTATTCTTTTACTTACCGGCTTCGTTAGGAAAAGATGTTACAAACTATATAGTTAGTGTTATTCTCTCCCATTTTATTGACTATGGACACAAGATTAAAATTGAAGATTCTTTCTCAGTTATCCCTTAAACTCCAAATGGTCTACCAACAGACGCGATACTACACTGACTGCATATAGCTGAAGCAACTGGTATCAAAGCAAAGAAATATGACTTACGTATACGAAACAGATATATAAAACCTCTTTGTATACCTTGGCACACACATGGTTGTTCTATTCATCGCTCCAATTTAGTCCCTTCCCCAATCTGTATGAGCCGCACTGCCTTAGAAGACATTTCCTCTTATCCTTAATTGTACATTCATCTTTCCTATTCTTGTTGTTATTACTGTTACAACAACTATGAAATAGCTTTTACTTGAGATTTTATCTGATTGATAAAACCCATCAACCTAATTATTTTGTTTCACTACTAATCTGTGGTATTTAAGATTACATGAACGTGAAATTTACCATTTCAGTTTATACCATGGATTCATTCATCTTCAGTGTTTTGTTTGATGTAACACCATAATAATCTTGGATTAATAACTGTCGATCCTGATGAAGAAGCTATCGGGAATGATCGTCAGTACTAATATTCTATGTGTTTGAAAATTCTTTGGGAATGCCTAAATTACTTTTCCGATCTTTGAGAATAGTTTGATAAATGCTTACCCACTCTTACTTGCAAATCATGATTACTCTTTTCCATGTAAGTGTCCACCCACACGTAAATTGGTCAACACGACGTAATATTCGGTGGTGGAACTTTATATTATGGTTGTTCAAAAGGCAGCTACTTCCTTTACATTAAAGCCTTTACTGTTTGTTAATGATCTAGATTGAGATAACCACATGATTTAGTATCCCAAAATCCAAGCAGTTTCGTCTCCACCTATCCAAGTTTCATCACTGCATGTCAATACAGAAGAACCGGGATACAGATACTGTAGAAAAGATATCGCTAATTTCTTTTCCATATCCAATTTTCTTAACAAGACTGATGTTAGCCATCAAATATAGTTATTGCACTCAATTCTTTAGATTCAACTAGACGATGCAGTTCGAAAAACAACAACACAAGCCCATTACACCTTGTTGGTGTATAATCAACTAATGTCTGTCCCGTGACGAGTGATTTGACCTTGAACATATGTCATGCTGCCAAACTTTATCCCATCTTGTAAATATCATATCAAAATTATAATATCGTTTATACTCAAATACATCTTACCATCATGTCTAACATACGATATTTTCACGCATATATCTCTGTGGACATTTATTGGTTAAAGTGCTCCTGTGAAATTAGCTATTTAAAGCTCAGAATGAATGATTTTTTATGACACGTGACCGAACGTCTCCAGACATAATTTATTGAGACTAATAACAGCTGGTGAAAAGCTACTGAGACACATTGAATCTTCTTTATTTAACACAAGTGTCGTGGAATTCGCGTTGTTCAGATTCATTTGGTATAATTTAGTAATCATTATGCTAAAGATCCAGTGTTGCGCTATAGGTCCTAATTATTATGTTACATCTACTAAGCAGCACCACAACTGCTAACCAGAACCATAGCATAGCACTTAATAAATTTGGCCAGTTAGTCAGGTCATAATTTCATAGGCTGACGAGCATTTTAGTGACAGCATATCCTTCAATCAATTGCATTCCAGATAATACTCAGTCATATTTTTGTGTCAAACATTATATATGTGACCTTGTCGCTTTGCTACATAAAATCACTACCTTCCCCAGTAAGTTGTTTCATTTTCAATATCCGTCCTCTTGAGTTTTTGTATCAACAATTCAGCTTTTGAGGCTAATTACCACTCAAACATACTATTAAAGTCTACACAATCCCTACAGTCTTTCACCGTTATAATAGTAACCGAAGACTGAGTACCCTCACGTTTAACTAAAGGTTTGAAAAACTCGCGTTACAAATAAACAGATACACACAGAGTCTGTTGTGAAGGAATGAAATATATAAAATTTTCAATTTTAACTAACCCATACACCAGATACTTCAGTATAAGACACTGTTCAAATAAATGGGCTAATGACCCTACTCGGTTGCACAAACCGAATTAGATGGAACGAGGTTCAAAACCTCGAACTTAATGACAGATGGTGGAACGCTTTAACCATTGGGCTACAGATCAAACGAAATAAACCATCATTATTTTTCTTGAGTTTCATTCCCCTCATTATCACTGTTTTCTTTGTTTTATTAAAACACAAGTGTAAACAATAACAAAAGACAAAAACCACTCCGAAAACTATAATAAAAGTCGAAATAATGAAAACAGTAGAAGTTCAAAATGATACATAAAAAAAGGAAGAAGACTGATGATTTCATTACACCATACAATATACAGATAGTGAAATAAAAAGAGGTAGGGAGATATTTCCTAATATTACAATTGGATCTACATATGGCAATATATGAGAAAGTCAAGTTCACATTGTGTACTTCCACTTTCCATGGGATTTTTTTATCCCACTCTCATTACATAATAACAACAATATTAAGTATTATTTTACTTCCATTTGAGAGGGCGTGTCTAGACACATATCATACAGAAATGACTACACATAAAAATCATAGAAAGACGAAATAAAACTCAAGTTCACCTAATACATCTGGTTACAAATTTAATAGTTTTTCTCAGAATACAGACAAAATACAAAATATATAGTGACTTGTATATATCTCTATAAAGACATTGAACTAGAATTGTGGAAGGAAAAGCGCCACCATATTGAAAAAGTTGAAATTATAAAAGATCCATAGTTAACTGCAGTGTGTATGTGAGTGTATATATGTGTGTGTGTTTATCTCATTGTGAAAAAAGTCAATGTGTAGTGAAATTGAAAAGTAAACAAACAACAATTAAAACACACAGAAAAAATTTGAATCTCTTACAAATTAATAGATATGTGAATAGAATATAAAATAAGAGAGGAGCATAGAAAATAACCATTGACAAAACAGTAATGAATAGAATTAAATGGAATGAGTATGAAACACAAACTTATCTAATATAGTTTGTTCACAATTTATATATGTGCAAATAGCAATTCATTCTTGTCTATAACAAATAAATTCTAGTTAATTGCACTTGGTTGATATGCATGTACTTCCATTTGTCAAAGATTTATCAGTATGATTATTATTACTATTATTTTTTATTCGTTTAATCTGCTTTACAATGAAAGATGTATCAGTAATATCAGTGGCAGTATAAGTAGTAGTGATATGATTATGATTATTGTTTAAAACTGTTTCTGATGTAGTTTTATGATCACAAAGATTCATATTGTCGATGTTTTTATTCGGTGTATCTTCACGTATATCATCACATGATTCTAATGGACTTGTAAATAGTCGAATAGCCATACGTACAATGAACTAATGAAAATACAAGGGAGGAAAAAGTGATAATATAGACAAATGAATATTGATAATATTGATAAATTAGGACTACACCAGTCATCTTGTGGTGTCTAGAATTATGTCAAGCTCATATGGTTATTCTAGCATCTGGACAGATGGATTAATATATTCTTGAGTAACATTTTGACATTGTCGCTTATTCTTTGATAAACCTTGATCGTATGTGTGTATATCGCTTATCCTACTCATCACATGTCTTTAACTTTATGAACATTGAGTCACGCTTGATCAGATGAGGTTGACATGTTTGCCTTATATGGTCAACTTCTCCGCTTTGTTTCTCTGATTATCTGTCTGGATCAACGAGTGTATGAAACCTACGCATTCCGAATTCATTCTCGTATTGGACTTATTTTGTTCCGTTTTTCTCTTATGCGAATTAAGTTGATAATTATATATGAGGGTTGACGACATGTATATTTCGTTAACATCATCACTCAATCATATTGTAGTTAAATTAACGGGCCACAAAAATCTCTGCATACAAATGAAGTAGTCGAATAAATAGGAGAATCAAGTTAATTAAAAATAAAGGCACCTTACAATCCGACAGTACAAGCCATTGTGTATTATTTGTACAGTAGAAAGAAGCATTACAATTGAACAAATCAAATAGAAAACATTCATTGGACATTTGCAATGAAACTAATAATTTGAACTATGTTGTTTCACCTTTTCAATTACCACTTTCTGTCAGTCTCATACTTCCTTAAGTCAGTCCATCAGTTGATTAGTTCGAAGCAATGCCAGAGTAGTAGACGTAGTAACAATATTAGTGTCAGGAAACATCGGATGTAGATAATATGGTTCAAGAACAATAAATTTATCAGAAAGAGGTTTTGCAGAGATTGTAGTAACTTAATAGTTGAATTCATGAGTGGATTAAAACTAGACCACCTTGGGAAACCTGGGAGCACTGGACAGCCGTCTCGTCCTAGTATGGGACTCCTCAGTGAATAGGTTAACCCTTTTATTGATCTTAAAACAAATTATTGGGATCAAAAAGCATCTATAAATAGACTACTAAACTAGAAACAATGATAATAGTAAAAAGATAGAATTTAATATGAATTACTACCGAACTTAATATAGATAATTTCATACTATGAAATACTAACTATATGACTGCATAAGAAATGCAAATTAAAAAAAAACTATAGGCATGTAATACAGAATATCTGATAAAAGTGAGTATCTCTAAGAACATTACATTATGTAATAGGAAGCAGATACGTAGTCATTTAATAAGTGTAATAGAACATAAGGAAAAAAACAGGATCAACATACCGTAAACCAATATATATGCATTACAAATAAAGCCCATAGCAGTAAATTGAAAAACAGAAATCCTCTGTTTTCTCGACCGACTAAACAAATATAAGCTCCCCAAGAGGAAGCGTATAAAACTTTCAATGGGAATAAATATAGTCGTAAAACAATCCTGTGAAGAAAAAAACAGAGGAATTTAAGGAAACCCATTCACAAAATGTATTTACATAACTTCATATGAATTCACTAATAACGGTAACAATGAAAGTTGATGTATAGAGAGCAAAAGTAATCAAATTAGAAGAATTGAAAAAATTCACCATATTTTAAGATTTCTCGTAAGTTGCAAAACAGCTCAAATTTACGAAATACAATATAATTAAAGTGAAATTATTTAGCATACTTTACTTAATTAAAATATCAGAAGGGGGTTTGCGGAGATTGTAGTAATTTCAATAGTTGAGATCATGCTTCAATTGAAGCTAGACCAACATGGAAAACCTGAAAACACCGGACGGCTGTTTCGTCTTATTATGGGACTCATCATCAGTGCACATCCACGATCCCGCCTCGCGGGATTCGAACCCAGGACCTATCAGTCTCGCGGGCGAGCGCTTAACCAGTAGACCAATGAGCTCGCCGGCATCCAACGGTGTTAATGTTTAACTTCAACCAATACATACTAGGACTAAACGGCCGTTCAGTGCTTCCAGGTTCTTCATGGTGGTCTAGCTTCAATTGACTAATGATCTCAACTATTTTAATTACAATAACCCATTGTAACATTGAATGAAAATAGAGTTCAATGAAGAAAATTTTCTTTTTGACAAGATCATTTACTTAAGCTGTACATTCGTATTTACAGTTGTATGATAAATATCCCTATAGAAGGATAGGAAAGATTGCATCATAAACTGATTCGAGACTCTTATTATCAAATGAGGTTGCGCAATAATCAAGGTGTAAGACAAGAATTTAAGGCTGGAAATAATTATGAAGGATAATTGTCCAGTTGACAGATATGATGAAAGACGAAAAACACTTTATGATGCAATCTATCCTTCTATAGACATATATTTACCATACAATCATAAATACAAATGTACAGCTTAAGTAAATAATTTTGTCAAAAGATAGTTTTCATCACTGGATTCTCTTTACTTTTATACTTCACTTAATAAAGTAATGATCTCAAATCCTATCCCTTTAGCTCAGTTCAAATTGAATATGAAAATTAGTTTTAATAAAATAAGTCAGTCAGTCAGTAACAACGTAGAACTTCGTACATAAGTATATCAGTTCAAGTTACCATACCACATTAGCACAGAGATGCAGTTGTCGATTGAAATCCCATAGTGGCTACTGCTTCAGCCGTTTGAAGGACTTTAAGTCTGAAACTGGAGCTATGCGTACGGAAGAAATATATTCAACCACTCCCTCTCCCCTGGCCAACATCAAGGCCAATTAATTAATCGTAATATATCACATAATTCTGATAAACTTCGTCTTCTCATTGCATTATCGTAATCTTAGCTATTGAATGACCAAATTAGACTATGACCTTTCATAGTCAATTGTAATTGTCTCTGTTATCTTTATTCATAAATCTTGATATTATTATTATTATTATTATTACGATTATTATTGGTTAAACATCATTATTAATCTCCCCTATACATGATTCATTCACTTCGCATTTATCCCTCCTTATTACGTCTTCCACTAAACATTTGACCGAATTGTAATTGCACTATTTCTCTCACCCTATCTGACCCATATTTATTCTGATCATGGATCTTAAAATTTCACTTGACATTTACGCAGATTCAAGTTAACATTCTATATCAGTCATATCAACATTAACAATTTTATTGTATTTCGTTTAACACAATCCTAAATTCACATGCCTTAAACTATGTACTTTGCCCTTAACCTGGCCATTTTCCGGATTATTAATTTAAATATATGAATTGTAGAACCTGAAGAGAATTTATCGAAAAGAATATTCTTCGTTCAAATATTAGTCTTTTGAAAACTAGTAATAAAATAATGATTTACCAATGAATAATTTTACTTCCCAATTTACTTACCATGATGTTGCAAATAGTGCAAAACATATATTAGCAATAGTTATATGAATAGTATGTAATTTTCCGCGTCGAATACGCAAGTAAGCATTTATTTTACCGAATTCTAAAAATACATCGCATAAATCATGTAGAAGTAAAGTTAGAACACCCGTACGATGTATTCTAAAAACATACAAATGGAGAGAGAAATAAACTTTAGATAAATATTGAGTAAAGAGTAGTGAGAACTTCTGACTAGAAGACTGAATTGAAAAAAGAGAGAGATAGTAAAAACGAAATTACTACACGAGGTTTGTGGAGACTTTTAGATTTCATAGTAGGCATCAAGAACTGGGTTTAGTAAGACAACAGTCAAAAGACAGAAAACACTGGATAGTTGTTAAGTCATTGTATGAGACCCCTTAGCAGTGTTTATTCACGACCACATAGGGAATCGAACTAAGAACCTACAGGACACTGACGCTTTAAATTCTACGCCCACTCTAATACAGTACATTATCACCTTTGAACTTAAGGTAGAAATAATAGTAACCGTTATTCAACGTGTGATAACTTACATCACTCATTGACTAAAAAAACTCACAATTCAAATGTAACTTCACATGCAACAAGATAATGAATAAAGTTGGAAAAACCTTGGGTCGAGACATGATGTTCTAATAGTAAAGGCATAAGATACAACTGTCTTGATAAAACTCAATTATCAAGTCCAAATTTACATACTTAACTTTGAACCAAGCCCTATTTTGTAAAGGCTAGTGATATGTCCTAGCCAACAAGGTTGAATAATATGAAGTAAAAAAAATTTAAATCCATGATCTAATGACTGAAAGTCACGTTTTTCTACTACTGCTGACTAGGCATCAGTCAATGTGAGTTTTTAGCCAACCGTTTTGTTAATAAAAAATAAGCAAACATTTTCATTGAATATTGCAACGATGCATTTTTGTTAATGACGTTCGAATGAATGTTGAATGTATCTAAAGTCAACTGTAAGATTATATGGTGACCATTCTATTTACGCTTTCCATAAATGTTACCACAAAATCCCGACATTTGATTAATGGTTAGATCCTAACTTAAACAAATCTATCATGGCCAAGCACACACACTACGAAATGAAATGCCAATGCTTTTTAGAATACTAACAGCTTTACTGAAATAAGCACTGTTAAAAATTATTATATAGCAATCGAATGAGTACTAGAAAATGAAGCTTTCTCCTGGTGTTGGATTTCTATGAGATTGTACAACATTATAAGTATTTTCTTGACTTATTTTATAGTTAAAAATATTCATTTTGTACTGAAGTCTAAGATTATTCCACTAATAACCACTCGAAAAAATATGCTCCCAAAGAGATTCATTTACAACAGTAGTTGATAGTGATTTGTGTGCCCTGAATCTACCGTTCGGTCGGTTACTATGATTGTTAAATCAAACAACCCCTCTCCTCATTTCTAAAGTTTATACTCATTAAAATTAAAACATCGTTACACCAATAGATATTGATAAATATCTAATCATCAGATGGAATTCCAAAACATTTCATATAGCTTTCACGAATAGTTTAGTTAACTTATCTTAAATTTTAAACTTGTACGTTTCTGTGACTGCATTTGAACATTTGACTTTTCATAAAAGGTAAGATTATTGCCAATAAGTGTTATTTATTATTTCAATCGAACTTGGTTGATTGGTGGCCTATGAGTTACAGTATCCGACTTTTAATAGCTAAGTTACAAGTTTGAACACTGAAACACAGTTCAGCTGGTTGAGTACCAACCCTATCCCTCACATAGAAAATTTGCAGTTTAAAGTCATGTACGGGAAACGTGTTTTGTAAATGGGTTTGATTAAATTTACTTCAGTAGAATTGGAATCAGTGTGAAAACGCATATTATTCAATTCTTCATAGGGAGTTCATTGGTTTTACTTGTAAAGTAGATACTTCACAAATTTTATATATATCCTTCAATTTATGAAGAGAAAGTATGAACGAAAACCATTAGAAAAATTGAATTGGATACTGACAAAATCACTTTCTTCTCCTATCCTTAATTTTAAAATTGGAAAGTGATCCCTCTATCACTATCTATTTCTACCTTCAATTTTTGATGTTCTTCTAAAAATTATTTTCACTTTAATTGTGATTTTTCATCTTCTTCCGATGATTCACTTGATTCTTATTTAATTCTCCGAAATGTTTTAACATATTAAATAATCGTTTCTTTATATGTACAAGCACACTTTGTATGTTATATACAGAGTATGAAAAAGATGTTGAAAGATTGCATTTGATATTTAACACCATTAATAGAAGTATGGTGCAAATTAATGTCTATAGAAAAACTGTTTTGAATAGTTTCTGTTAATTTTCATCAACATGTTAACGATTAAATAAAAATCAAAGTGGTAATTGGCCTTTAAAATGCTTTTAAATTCATATGGTATATAAAATCACAAAAATGATTGAGAATAAGATGATATTGGACAAATCTTAAGATGATAAATTATTAAGTTTAATCTTAATTAGTTTCATTCGTTATCAGGAATAAATCGAAGCAATTTAATAACTACTTTTGCCCCCAAATGCCCTGGTATGGCCGAGAGTGGGTAGAGTCCGCTCTCCCTCTCGAAATGCTCTCACATGGCCACGCGTATATAGCCTCTACCAGGGAAGTCTTACTCACTGCCTTCTCGTGGCGGGGGTGTTCTTTACGAAAATGAGAGGACGAAAAGCGAATGTCCGGCGCTTTAACCAGATCCCAAATCAATGGTGCACATGAGCTCCAGTATCCTGCGGGAACAAATAGCGTATGAACCAATTTCTTGGTCACCGGCTACCATGGGACTGCATCTCCTTACGATGCTCCACTGCCTTGTGGGTCAGACGTTCAGGTCGAAGGCTCGGGGTGTGGTCCCCTAAGAAAACCACCTGTTTCGGTCTGGGCACCTGGGCAGTATCACAGCCCTCACACAAATCAATTGAGATTCGTGTGGCGCATATGCATTTGCTGCCTCCTTGTACCAGTACCTATGTGTTAAAATAAATGAATAAATAATAGCTACTTTACGAAGAATAATTTATTTACCTTACCTTACCAATAATGAAGCTTCTAGCAGTAAAAGTGTCAAACAATGATGAACAACTAATACAGAAGAATCTTTACGCCACAAATCCATAAAAAATACACTCCATAATGAATGTAAATAGAATCCCAACTGCAGTGTATAAAGCCAATAGTAATCAGGCGGGGTCGGAATATCAAAGTAGCCAACTGATTAAAATAATTCAATTTAAGAAAAAAAAATCACGAAGTTTGTCAAGTTATGTGTATGTATATATTTCTGATGTTACGTAATAATCAAGAACAATTTTGATTCTGTCACACTTGATACTATCAAAATAATTGAAGAGACGTTTGGAACTATCACTATTCAGTGAAAAATTGGGTTATTAAACCATTTAGTTTCTTTCTTACAATTGAGTGGTTATATTTCTGGTCAGTGTCTAATATTTCATAAAGACAACTGGGGAAACAGTACTTATAAATCAATGAGACCCTATATTAAATCATGTAAAGGATTATTTTTCTTGAACATAACACTTAAGTTAGTGGTTGGAATTTGATTTCAAACCAGTTTTGAAGTTCTATTTTTCTCAATAAGTGTTGCTATTTCAAGCTTTAAAATGTAACTCCTATACTAAGCATGAATTTATTTGCTCAACTTTGAGCCACATCATGTATGAAGGCTAGCGATACTACCTATTTTTGTAAATCAAAGTAGATGGAGCGATGTTCATATCTGAGATCCACTGGTTACAGATCGAATGCTTTCAGAACCAAGCAACTTCAACATCATACCTAGGTATCATTATTTAATAACAACTGACTTTTGTGTTGTATCAATACATTTCACAAAGAAATGTATGTTGATGAACTCATTTACAATCAATCATATATTTATTATATACAATCTTAAATTTTCCCTGAAAATTCTCGGAATTTAAGTATTCTAATTAGGGATTTGGAAAATTGATAATTCACAATCCTTTTGATCAGCTTAAAATGCTTTTTGTGAGACAGTCACACTTCACGAAATAACTATCGTAGCCACTAACACAAGGTAATAAACCACAGTTAATAAAACACAAATATTCATCATATATTAATGTCCTTTAAAATCGAACCACTTATGCGGAATATTTATTGTATTATGACGCTAATTCATATTTTAGTTTCCATATCTCTGTACACTGAAATGAAATAGATAGACGTTAACAAATTAGTCATTCCATGTCATTTGAATTGATCATTTAAATGAATCTATTTAGCACAACAACTAATCCTTTTGTTAAATCCTTGTCATTTTTCTATCAAAACTGATCACGACACTAAAAATAGTCACCCTTAAAAATCATAACCAATATATTACAGTTCTCATGAGATGTAAATTCTATAAAGTACATAGAGCATTTTTGAATCCCATCAAATTAATTTCCTGAAACAATACCTATTCATAATTTAAATATATGATGCATATAGAAGAGGTCAAGGTTTATTTTTATGTAATGAATATATATTTGTCAAGAGCATGAAAATGTATATGGACATTACAACTGACACACCTCTTTATATTATTTTATAATTATATTTTGGTGTATGTTGCTTATGCTGACAGATATAAGCGGTATGTAGCTGTAATGAGAAGTGGAATAACCACCAACAGAAGACTGAACTGAAGAGAACAGGAAGGAAAGCAGAGGACAATTGAGATAATAACAGAATTGAAAGAATAATGAGGTATGTAAAAGACAACTGATTGGAAATGTACAAATAATGTATTTAATGTATGGTTTCCACATTTTAGGAAAGCACTGTGTAATTATGCATCATACAGTAGTTTTCGTTCACTACAATAGGTTTTATTTTAAAGATGTATCAGTATATCATCTGACATAAACTGACAAATTACTTGTAAAACTAAGATCTGATCTAATCGGGATTATTGAAACGATTTTATGAAAAAAAACAATGATGAATAGACGTAATCCAATAACTCTATTCGATATTGATGTTAATAGAAGTTTACTGGACAATGGAAAGGAAATTTAGATCTATTTTATATCTTAAGTCTAAGGATTTAACGGTGGTAAGCACATTGATTTGACAAAGTCAACATTATCAGTATAGATTTAATTTACTAAACATATACAATGGTTTACTTTATTATCATATCTTAAACAAGTGTAAATATATTCAGTTCAAAAGTGCTCTCTCCTAATGACAAAGATATTTCTCTTCATGCCAGATCATTTTTACGAATGATTGTAAGTGTGACACTATTTACTACCTTCTTGAAATTTCTACTCAGCATTATATGAAGAAAACGGAAAATGTATGTTTATCGGGTAAAAGTAATCAAATCGTTTGAATACTACACTTTCAACATATTCTAAATTTTGAGAATCAATGACAATCCGTTCGACACATATTCAGAACGCAGTTAAAGCTACAGAGTATAGTACAGAAACCGTCAGGGGTTTTATAATATTGTCCGAAATTTTGTTTATACAAACACTCTGGGGTTAGGTAGTTTAGTTGAAGGTAATCGGCAACAAGCCGTATATCTAGTTAAACAATTTATTTCATAAGAAGCATACTTACTTGTAAATATGTTATTGCGAAAGACACACAAGGGATATTGGAAATCTGTTCTACCACTTAAAACTACAACCTTTAGGCTAAAAAGCCACATAAGTAAGAACCAAAAACATTTCCAACCAGATTCAATAAGTTTACCAGAAACTTCTGGTGTTACACCAACATCGGCAATAAGCTTCTAAAAAAAAATAGAAATATATCTTCTTTACAAAATTTTGAAAACACACTCATCATACTGGAAATAATCTCTACATTTTAAATCAACCTAATTACTTTGATCTGAACAACCGGATAGTGTGCACAAAATATACTGTGAAATGAAGTAAAAGTACTCATGTTAATTAGCTCATATCCAGTGAAGTTTTAAAGTCCTCTTAGATAAATGAGTGCAATATAAACACAGTAAAGCTAATCCTATGGACAAACTCCACAAGATGAATTTGAAAAGGGTAACTGGTGCGAAAATGAATTACTAAACATGGAAGGTTCACTTAGAGATCGAACACTCAAATCCCAAGTCTATAGGCCAGAAGCTATATAAGTCAGTGGTGATTACTGTTGTGTATGCTATAAAAAACGTTACTTTAAAATCGTATATGTCTTAATAAAAAGCTTTTCAAAATGTTTACTTTCATATTAGATATCCTCTATATCAACCATTGTTATTCCGTCTTCTAATAAAAATACATCTGGTTTCAGAAAATAATAACTGCCCCGCTATACTTCATATCAGTAAAGGCTAATCAACAAGTAATTACTCACAGACTATTTAAGTAATAATAGCTTCATAAATGATTATTCAAGGTTCTGAATACATAGATATTCGGCTTTACTGGTGTGGGTTCAAATCGAATTCTGAAGTTGCACTACCATTTTGTGACATTTTCAGTCATACGTAACTTCACCTACGCCTAAACATAAACACGAATTCATCCTATCAATAGACAATTACAATAAATGAACATTATAATATTAGATGGTATGTGTTAACAACAACCTACTGTAGCATAGAACAAACCAGCTTCCAGATGGGGAAGAAATGAAGAAGAGGTGTATATACATATTGTGAAAATCACCAAGCTACATCATAAAGCAAGCCCTAACTTGGAATCCTAAATGCAAAAGAGGCAAACAAGAAAGCACATTGCATCGGTAATCGGTAGCAGATATCTAAGGACGAATAGCACTTTGGAACAAATGGAAAAGAGAGCTCAGGACAGAGTAAGTTGAAAAATCCTGGTTGGCTGTCTATACTACATGAGGGTAGACAGATGTAAGATGGTGTGCACTAAACTGATACGAAGATTATCAGGTCGTACCAAACCAACCCAGATTATTTCATGTAGCTTTGTTTACATTATAATTTACTTTAAACTGAGATAATTAACTATAACTCTTTACTCTAGTTTATAATAGTGTAAACCAAACTACGTATATTAAATAGGAAGATGCGTATGTAGACAGTTTTGTTAAATAGGAAATGACTAAACACATCTTACTGATGAAACGCGAAACAATCAACAACTTATGGACTCACTTCGTTCTTAAACACTACAATACATTCATTTGAATACACAGTGAATCAATAAATGGGTGTAAAGTTGTCAAAGAAAAGCTCACCGTATAAAGCTTTCGTGTGATATACACTCGAAGCAGAGTAAGTAAAAGGCCTGTCAATAAAGCATGAAACACTTGTAATGGACGTATAGCACAGATGATGCGGCGAACAAATAAGAAAGAGTTTCGAAACTTTGATTTGTTGAAACCCATTTCTTTAAAAGCAATCCAAGCTTTTGAGAACAGTTCGATGTAACTAGGCATAGGATCATTACAATGCTTTAGTAAAGAGTTAAGAAATTCTGGTGGATACTCTTTAGGATCAGGACCAGGTAACAAAAATGGGATGTCTTCTATACGAGAAGAATCTGATATTGGATAGTGTTTACCGGTTTCAGGATCAAAGATCGTTGACTGACAGTAAATTGTTATGTAAAAAGTGAATAGTAGGAAAAAAATTGACTTTCTTGACTGAAACATCGATTCTGTTAGTGAAGGCAGAATGAAAAACAGTAGCTTTGATAATTTGATAGATATTCTATTAAATCCCCTGACTAGATAGAAGCAAGGGATTTAAAATAGGCTAAAAAGTAAATGAAAATAAATAGATTATCATCGTTACACAAAAGAAAAGATTTTATCCAACTTATGGACGAAATATGATTGATGAACTAATAGATTAACTTCGTATAAAAATTCTTCATTGTTCAACAAATACCTACAATATTGTTTAATAAGCTTTTAGTTACAGCTTAATGTGTAAAAAATATTATTATTTATTAAAAGGATTTATCTAGAATATTTAAAAAATCAAAACTGGATCTATTCACTCATCTTAGACTTGAATCACAAGGCTAAATTTAATTGTGTAATTTTAATGTAAATAATACGTTAAACCACTAGCTACTGATCGATCCACAAAAGAACACTTGCATTAAAATTGTGGGTTGAATTATGAAAATGAAACAATTTTAGCTAGTATATAACACAAATAAACCTCCATAAATACCTAAGAAAAGTAGGAATAAAGAAATTTGTAGTTTTAGAAAAATAGACGCGATCAAGTTGCATTTTTCAACCACATAGCATTCTTGAGAGAAAAAAAATAACACATGCATATGCTACTAGATGTTACAAAAATATCTTTCATTGAAAGGCGATAAAAGTTGTTAGGATATTTATTAAACTAGGCAGCGAATAAAGTTAATCTTGGAGCATAGTTCTGAATTTAAAAGAAATACACCTCGGTGAAGTACATTTTAACATAAGAAAAAATCATTCCGCATGCTACTCGGTACTATAGCGGATACTACAGTTAGGGTATACTTCAAGGATGTATAAGAACAGTGAACATTAACCCGGAAATTTTCTTCAACAAAAGGACATAGGTGAAAAATCGTCCTACATAAGTGATAAAGCAAGCCGACTTAATATCCACTAATACCTCGCGTTCAGACTTAGTTTAAGGCCCTGACCACATGCATCTTTTTGAACATAGCGATTGAAGAGTGGATCTAGATCATAATGAGGCCTACAAGATATATATATATATATATATATATATATATATATATATATATATATATATACAACATATTTAATTGATATTTTAATACTTTCTGAAATGGTAAAGGAAAGTTGAACAATAGGAAGATTAAGTCCAAATGAAAGGAATGCCCAATGATGAAACTGGCAATAGTTAATTGAATACAATTCAATGATTAACTGAAAACATGTCTACTGAGAAATCGTAATCACATTTAGTGAAATACTTCAAGATAAACCAACATCCCCTGTGTTCATTTAAGAATATACTGACGATAAATATGATTAAAAGAAAAAAACAGAGATGTTATCAAAACAGTTTAAATAGTCAGTCTCAGAATAATCAACTAAGGTGATGATTAAATATAAAAATTAGAATTGTATCTACACATGAAATATAAAACAACAAACATACAGATTGAATGAATAAATGAGAAAAACCAAAACTTTTATTATTTTATTTCATTTTTGTAAAAGAAATAAAAAGTAATGCATTCTATAGAAATACAGAAAAATATATAATACAATAGAGTTGGTATATTTATTTATTTATTTTAGCAAGGTTTTTATCTACAGGATGGGGTTGTCGAACCCATACCCAACCCTCCGACAGTAATTCTAGAAGAGTTACAGAGGAATTACACTAATATCGATACTACGAAAGGTTTTCAATAGAGTTTTGCTCACCCGGATGAAAGATCCAGTAGATATCCAATTTAGAGTTCAACAGACCCCATTCTGTAAGGATCAGTCATGCACAACACAAACTGTGGTAGTACGGATGATCGTTGGACAATCAATTGAATAGAATTCGCCACTATAAAACTTCACTGACTATGCGTAAACACTTGACAGAGTGGATAGGAGAACCCTATGGAACCTTCTTCCACACTATGGAGCCAGTAGCTAGGAAAATCGCCAACATCATCTGGAATTCATATGACGGACGACAATGTAAAGTCGTGCATGTAGGACGGCTGACAGACGCATTCCAAACGAAGACCGGTGTCAAACAATGTTATTTAGTCTCTCTCTCCTTTCTCTTTCTTCTGGTGGTTGACTGGATTATGAAGACCTCCACATCTGATGGGAAGCACGGAATAAAATGGACAACTCGGAATCAACCAAACGATCTTGACTTAACAGATCTCCTGGCCATTCTATCCCATACACACAAACAAATGCAGATCAATACGACAAGTGTAGCAGCGGTCTCTCCTGAACTAGACTTCAACATAAACAAGGGAAACACCAATATCCTCAAGTTCAACACAAAGAACACCAATCAAACTAATCATACTTGATGGAGAAACTCTGCAACAGGTGGAAACTTTCACATACCTCGCTGGTCAGCATTACCGATGAACATGGAGGATCTGATGCAGACGTCAAGGCGAAGATTGGCAAAGTAACAACAAAATTCCTACAATTCTACAACATATGTAACTCAAAACAACTGTGCCGGCCGTTGTAGCTACCTTGACGTGGTGGTCGGGCTTGCCTATCGTGATGAAGCAACTGAGCTATACTGGCTGGAACAACCGTTCCTCAAGGTCCTACCATGCCAGACAGGTCTGTTGAAGAGCGGTAAGACTAAAAGCAACAAATCCAAGGTCCGAAGGCGAAGTCTTACTGCTGACTGTACAGAGGTGTGACAGCAGTAAGCTGTTTCCTTCAGACAGCCAGCATGACAGCGATGCTGCCTTCCCACAAAGAGGGGTGGGGTTAGAAAAGGTCGACCGTAGAAATGCACACCTTGCCTTATCATACGGATATCCGTCTCCGGCGGTAAGTTCTCAATAAGTACGGAGTTAACACAAAAGCTACTTATAAAAAGGTCGTGTGTGACCGACCTCAAGCAGTTATGTCTTGGTCACTGAGATCACGCTCTCAGGTCACTAAGAACATCTCTAACCCAATTTCCTTTTCAGGTACCTCCAGAAGAACCCTTCCACGGCGTGGGCAACCGGGAAGTGATAACCGCCTTCATACCACTAACAGCACTCAAGACTACTGTATTCATAATCAACCTCCCTCTTCAATTCCTAGTATTCCTCCCACATCGACAAAACAACTGTCTCCTGACCAATATCAAAGTGACAATATTCAATATGAACGTTAAGATAGTTCTACTGTACCGAGCTGAAACTTCGAGAACTATTACAACCAACACCAAAATGGTACAAGTATTTATGAACAGTTTTCTATGTAAGACACTCAATGTCCGTTGGTCGGATACCATCAGCAACAGCCTACTGTGGGAGAGAACAAACCAGCTTCCAGCTGAAGAGGAAATGAGGAAAAGACTTTGGGAGTGGATAGGACATACATTACGGAAATCACCAAACTGCATCACGAAGCAAGCACTAACTTGGAATGGTGAAGGGAAACGGAAAGTAGGGAGTCCGAACAACACAGTGTACCGCAAGTTGTAAGCAGGTATGAGAAGGATGAATAGCAACTGGGAACAAGTGGATAAGATTGTGGAGGACAGAGCTGGATGGAGAATGATAGTGAGCGGCCTATGCTCCTCTACGAGAAGTAACAAGAGAAAGTAAGCAATATGATTAATGCACACATACTCCTAGTGAGCATTGTAATGGCTATCACAAACGAAATCTAAAAAATTAGAATGAAAGAAAAATCTAGTCGATTGCATAAGATCATTGTTTGTGTTATTTGTGTTATAGATAACTTAAAAATCCAAGCTTTCATTTACAGATCAATATTTCTTGCAATGCTAATTAACTGGAAGCAGAATGGTCGTTGAATTTTGGTGCAGGATGAAATGAAGTAATCCTTGTTAAACCAGTGCTCATCTATCCGATGATTTACAGAAATTCTAGCAAATGCAGAAACTATAATGAACCTGCTAATGAATCATGGGTTTCCAAAGGGATTGATACATAGGAATTCCGCCTTGAATATTAATTTTTCATAAACGCACTGTCATTTGGTTTCCGAGCACTTAGAAATGGATGGAAATCTGTAAATATTGGAAAACATGATTTATAAACCATAGATTGATTTGGATGAAGTGATTTAGTAGAAGGGTTTGAGTAGCTATTTCACTTGTCTACAATTGAGTTTTCTTAATAGCGATTGTGTAGCAACTGAATTTCTTTCGCCATGATAAATAACTATCTTCATCAGATGGTTGCAGAAGAGACCCGATACCTGAAAACAGAAGAGAATTTAATTGATCTTTATTGTGTAACATATCAAAGCTAATTAAATCCATTATATCAACCAGACAATGAGCGTTAAGAAAAGATCCGGATGATTTGAAGCAAATTCCACTTTTTGATATTAAACGTGACAAAGAGACATCTTTCTTAAGAAGCTTAACTGCTTTGTTGATCATTTCATCCTTAACACTTTGAGTTGAAAAGCAGCATTTGGAATCTGAGGTAGTTCTGTTACTATCTAGTCCGAAAATATCTGAGGTTTCTTAATTCGTAACACTTTTTGTTGGAGCTACTTTAATGAGATTGGCATAAAAAAGGTGAAGAATAAATAAAGCTTAAATATTTCTTGAATGGTTTTGGATATTTTTTCGTTTGTAAATATATTACATTGTAATTACAATATCAACATGAAGAACAATGGAAATCAGAGCATAAGATAGACACATTTGTCAACTTCTTGAAGTTCACAATCTCTTAAACCTTACTATTTACGAAGTAACCTTGACAATAAAAGTTTAAACGATAACAATTCGTGTCTATGAAGAATGTTTTAATAAAGTAGTGTTATACTAGATAAGTCAACATCTGACGATCATCATTGCATAATTTATGATCAGCTTGAAAAAGTGGCAAAACACAAGACTTTTTAGTAAAAATAATTAATCTGCGAAGATGTTAAGATATGTATTTTAACGAAAACCATTCTTTAACTTCTTATATGGGAATATTTGCAAATTATACCAACTAGTACTGAGTTGCTGATCGTTTCATGACAGTACTACAAGACTTAGTCATAACCGCAAATAAAATTAAACTAGCCATACCCCAATAATACATGCCGTAACACGTTAAGGTTGGTGAAGGTGTGGTAAGGTTATCGATAGTTAATGTAATCAATAATGGCGTGGTAACTCATTCCCATAAAATACTACGTTGATGATGGCCTAATCTAATTATTATAGCTTTGAACATCTCAACTGCATAAATCAACACACTCGTATTTATGGATGCTCTTAATGTGGTGACAATGGGTTGTATCCTCCATGAAAAAAACTAGAGAAACAATCGTCCTAATGCAAGAGAGGAGAAATGTACAGTCTACTTCTTTAAAGGGGTTGCATCCCTATGTTCTTTAATGGTACAGTAACGGAAAAAAATAATGGTAGCACAAGTGAACAATAAGTGAAAACTATAGTTATAAAACCCTGAGAAACAAAATAAATTATGGGGAGTTGTAAATTTTACTGTCGACCAAAGTAACCACATTGTGCATCCAGGATTGAAAAGAAATTAGCTCTGCCAAATTATTTGCCTGTATCCATAAAAATGTTTTTTCTTAAAAACCTAATTGGGGTCCAAATGGACCGCTTTATCTTATGCCCATGGAAACTCAATCACTTTTCTAAAAGACAGTCGGAGACAATCTGTGGAAACATTTTCTCCAGGCTCAGTTTCATTAGCTTCAATCATTATTATAATTCATGCGACAATAAAACTGACGATTTACAGACTGCTTGTAGGTGAGTTATGTTAACTCTTATTTAGTAAATTATGCCAAACTAGTTTATATCCTACTCAATGTATACTCATGTTAGCATTCACGTTATTATATTTCCTTGGACAGCAGTCTTGATTCAATGCAAAAACATGTACAGCGTTAGTAATTCTCATACTCTATCAAAATTTAAAACTACTATCTACCTAAGATAGCGCCCAGTCGTCTGTATATGAAATTGTCTAATAATTAAT